CCTGAGCTGGTGCAACCGGCTGAGCTGGAGGTGCCCCCGGTGTCTATAGTCCCTGCACTACCTACTCAGGTGTGCGAGCAGCGGGGGTCTGATTGCCTCCCCCAGCCTGTGAAGTAGCTGTTGCTGTAGTGGCTGAAACTGCCTAAGCCAAGCTAGTGCAAACTAATAAGATCTGAGTCGGAGGCCTCCTGAAGACCCAGAATCACGATGGGCACAGCTAGTGCCTGAACTGGTGTTGCTGGAGCATCCATAGTTGGAGCCTGATCCAGAGTTAGGGCATCTAGTGGATCTACAAGTGTTGCCCTCGCTGCTCTTCCACGACCACGACCGCGTCCACGGCCTCTGGTGGCCTCCGCTGGTGGCACTGGTGGTCGCCCACCTCGTCTGGTAGCTCGCGTCCTCACCATCTATGAGAGAATAGGATAACAGAAGTTTAGTACTCGGACCACAAGCTCGCACGACAAGAATTTCAAGAATATGAAGTTTTTCCTAAAGGTTCTGCAGCCTCTCGAGGATAAATACAGACGTATCCGTACCGATCTGTGAGACTCTACTAAACCTGCTCATGACTCGTGAGACCTAAGTAACCTAGGCTCTGATACCAACTTGTCACGACCCAATTCCCGAACCCGATCGTGATGGCGGCTCTCGTGAAGACAAGGCTAGCCAGACCAAAATGAATCACCTCTTTTAAACAATTAATTATCATAAATGGTAATAAAACATAATATAATATCCGTAAATTGCGGAATTTAATGATAATAATAGCAGAAACCATCCCGACGCAGCCCAAACCAGGGTGTCACAAGTCATGAGCAACTAAGAAATCCGGATACAAGTCTACTGAACACTAAATCCGATCCAATAGTTCTAAGAACATGAAAATGATAAGATAAGGGAGGCACGAGGCTGCGAACGCCAACAACTACCTCGTAGTCTCTGAATCACTGCCTGGACTGAGAGGATCAACACTCAGGAGCGGACTCTGCGATGCCTGAACTGCACACATGGTGCAGGGAGTAATGTGAGTACTCCGACTCAGTGAGTAATAATTATAAATAATGGCTGAAAGTATGAAAACACGTAAAGGCATAAAGAAATTCCATATCAAGCAGTAAAATCACTTAAAGCAGTAAATCAGTGAAGAAACCAAATGATATCCCTTTTTAAAACAAGTAAAACAGGTAAATAACAAGTAGAAATCCGCCCCTCAGGTACAGTATCAATCACTCAGAACAGTATCAGCCCATCGGGCTCACTCTTAGATCATAATGGGTCCCGCGCTCACTGTGGGTATGCAGACTCTAGAGGGGCCCCTTACGGCCCAAGCGCTATATCAAGCCACCTCGTGGCATCATCACTCGGCACTTAGCCTGACATCACTCAAGCCACCTCATGGCATATAAAGTATCTCAAGACCTCGGCCTCATATCACTCAGCATATCCTCACATATGGCCCTCGGCCTCACTCAATCCGAAAATCATCACA